GTTCTGGAATCATGAAAATGATAAGAAATTTGGCCCAGTCTTCGTAAAGTTACAAGCACTGTACACAGAAAGATGTATATGGGACTACGCACACGTGCGCTACACGTGCGTTTATCTCTCACACACCAATAGATAAACTAATTTACCTAATATATCAATTAGAAGGCGGTTTCCCGGCAAAATTTCTATCATCATGTATGAGTCAAAACATATTCTTTCACATGATTGGAAAATAATAGCTTCTTTTTCATTTTTTGAACTTGGGGCGGTTCCAATACTGGTCTTTACCTTTAAAAAGGCATATTCCACAGAATAAATAACTGCCGATGCAAGACAAATTTTAATCTGCATGCGGCCACCAGATAGAAAAAAGGCTGGCTCAATATATGGATCCTGGGCCTGAGGAAATGGACATTGCCTTGTAACATGACATTTCAAACAGATTACATTATTGCAATCTTAAATTTGATTACATAATTAAAATGTGGTGTATACTACTAAATAAATATTGTACTTAAGACATGTTACCTGATTTTACTCCAATTAACAGTAACATATAGCATATGCCTATATGTTTCTTAGATACCACACGTTACAGAGGATCTATGATAATAATAATAGTGGCTCATGGTGCGCCATTGTACTCCCTCCTCAGATCAGATAATTATCTCTTTGTATCTGTATATCAGTCCTTCCCTTCTTTTCCCTCTTATCTGCTCTCAAACAGAACTTGGAATTAACAAGTATAGTCTTGTCTTATGCGATATGAAATGTGTTTTAAATATGTAGATATTGAATTCTTTTTACATTCATTGTCAACCTTAAATAAGGGCCCTTATGCTCTTTTGGGGGTTGCCTGCTACTGTACATGTACTTACCTGTTTATAGTATTTGACTATTCGATATGATGTATCTTATCTTTTTAAGATTCTCCTGTAATTTCTTATGTTTCCACCAGCTATTGCTTTTGTTTCTTTAGCTATATTTCCTGCTCCAAGCAAACTTTCCAGTATGGAAAAAAAAACATTTTAAAGAACACTTGGATCACATTAGCCTCTATACAGGTACTTTGTTTGCCATCTAATGTTGCTGTTGTTTGTTATATTTTGGGCATTCAGTCAAATTTGCCTATTTACGCCTAGTCTAGTTCTTTAGTCGTGTTGAGGTAGAGTCCTATTAATTCCTAGCTTGGAAACTCGGTGCGCCTGTGCTTCGCTGGTCTACTGCTGGGGGATGTATCATCCCGCCCAACCCTGCTACGTCCAATCCAATGGGCTGACCAACATATTAACAGTATATCCCATTGATTTTTGTTTCAGCTAGTTCGGTTAGAATGTGACCTAGTTGTTTATACTCACACTCTGAAGTAGAGTTGCACATCTCTCACCTGGTATAATATGTTTCTATACTGGATGAAATATGAAGCAATGTAACACATTTCCGATATTAGACTCAAAATGGAGCAATATGACATTCCAACTGAGATTTACTAGCTCACCATCCGGAAGCATTTTATAAGGTAGACATACATGAAAATAATGTGTGCAATGTTTGCTAAATTATGGCATTTACTCTCTTTCCTATCAACGTTCAGCATAATTGAATGATTTTTGCAGTCTTGCTATAAACCAATATACTAATCAAGTAGGCTCTTGAATAATGAGGGTTACAAGCTCGATTTGTTGAATTGTGTTTATATCATTCCACCAAATTATTAGCATCTACAAAGAGTCTAAGGGCATATGCCTCAATTACAGAGAGGAAATGCTGTCATTAGTTACAAAACTGTTTTATGGTTGAACTTTGAAATTGATGGGAAGAAAGTATTCCTCATTTATTTACAATGCAACCTGATATATGACAGTGCTTCTTTTTCTTAGGCCTATGGCATGTAAATGTTTTTCCTTACAAGTAACTTTGCTTAGAGCAGCCAATAGCTAAAGAAACTCAAACAATTGCTGGTCCCGTGTAGGGCATAAACGGTTATTCATTTCATTTCAATGGCATAAAATATTACAGGAACATTTTTAAAGGACGAGACACATCACATGAAATAGTCGAATACCGGTACTATAAACAGATAAGTACATGTATTATGAAGTATACAGCACCCAAAATAGAATAAGGGCCCTTATTTGAGGTTGACAATGAATGTAAAAAGTATTCAATATCTACTTACCGGTATTTAAAACACATCTTATATAACATACATGTAACACAAGACTATACTTGTTAATTCCAATTTCTTTTTGAGTGCAGATAAGAGGGAAAAGAAGGAAAGGACTGATATAGAGATACAGAGCTAAATAAGGGATTACAAAAGATCCTCTGCAACTTGTGGTGTTTCTGAGAAACATATAGGCATACGCTATGTAACTGTTAGTTGTTAATTGTAGTAAAATGAGGTCACATGTCTTGAGTAGAATTCTGATAGTCAACATATTCATTTAGTAGAATATACCATGTTTTAATTCTGTAATCAAATTTAGGATTGCAATAATGTAATCTGCTTGAAATGTCATGTTACAAGGCAAATTTAATCTACATTAATGTTCAATTCCTTAAGCCCAGAATCCACATTGAGCCACACCTTTTCCATCTGTTGGGCCCTATTCAGAATAAAATTTGTCTTGCAGCGGCAGTTATTTACTCTGTGGAATGTGCCTTTTTATTTCATATTGTTTTCATTTAAACGTGTAGTATCACTGACGTTTGTCAGAAAATTTGTCATGGTAATTTCCTTAGTCTGTGCAATTAACCCGACCTTTCCAAATCGATTTCGAGTCGTACCTAAAGTAGGACTTTATATTAAACTTTGGTCAATGATACAAAAATGGGCCTTTGGCCACATTTTGGGGGCGTCTGGCAGGCCCTAAGAAGCGAAAAATGTGTCTGGCAGTGCATTGTAGCATTCAACTATTAAGTTACAATTAGTTTCAAGTGGTTTCTCCTTCATTTGGGGCCCACTTTTTCAGTGTGTCTGTGGGCCCATTTGCAGGAGGAAATTTATCTGGCATGATGATTTCCGTAGTCTGTAAAATAAACCCGACCATTCAAAATTGGTTTTGAGTGGTACTTTGCAAATTTAATCTGGGTCAATGCTACATTATGGGCTTTTGGGCCATATTAAGGGGCGTCTGGTGGGCCCTTAGCAGCAGAAAATGTGGCATTCATGCATTTAGTTAACACTGGTTTCAAGTGGTATCTCGTTCGTTTGATCAAATGCATTTTTAGGGGGCCCCCTTTGGGGGCGTCTGGCGGGCCCTTTGCAGCAGAAATTTTGTCTGGCATGGGCCATTCAGTGCTCTGTGGCATTCATGCATTTAGTTCACACTGGTTCAAGTGGTACCTCGTTCGTTTGATCCCCTCTCAACTGGCCCCAGGGGCCACATGCAGCAGAGGGACACCGGCAGACGTCCACATTTGGATATCCTAGGTTTTTCCCCAAATGTTCCAATACTCAGATATTGGTACCTCGTTCGTTTGATCAAAGTGCTCTGGGCTGCCGGGCTTTTAAAGATACTGTTTCTTTTGCAGCCAATTTATAATTAGCAGTGTCCTTAAATTCAAATTATGCACAAAAAAACCTGGTTATGCTAGACTTCACTGTCAGACACTATTGAGTGACTGAATGGCTTTTTTTTTTGGTTCTTCTTCTTTGGTAAACATACATAAAATGAGCTGTAAAGGGTACATGAGCATTTATCTACATCAATAACCCACTTCTTGTAATGGCCAAAATTAAACTTATTGAATCTTTGCGCAGCATAAAACGTACGACCATACAGTTCAATGGTCTAAAAATCAGACTATTACTTACTGGCTCTATAGCTATTAAGTCGATTTGACAACTAATAGTCGTTATTTTCCCACTTAAAGACATTTTCAGGCCCCCCCCCTTTTTTTTTAGGGAAGTTCTAAATTCGTATTATCTTTCAAATGCTGTTAGAATTTAACTTTTTCATTTGTTTGGCCTGCAAATGGGACATAGTACCTTTAATATCCTGCGGAATACTGCGTGTGAATCCTGTAGTGAATAACAGAGATAAAACAAAGAATGACTATTGTTTCAAAGTACACAAATTGTTCCTTTCACATAGTAAAAATAATTGAAACTATTTAAACCGAAAAATACATAAATACTTTCTACACTTTCATCTGTAATATGTTCTTTTCCCTTAGAATGCTTTCTTTGTAAAGCAAACTTAAGTAAATACATAACCTTCAAAGAGTATTTATCAAGTTTGAGACTAGAGTAAAGCAATTAGAAATATTGAGATTCATGTTCAAACTTCTTTAAAGCAAAGTAATGAATATATTGTCGTCTTGTTTCTGAATCATAAATCTATCAGCAAATTATAAATCACATTACAATGATTCATTCTCTTTCCTAACTATTAAAACAAGTATCGCGATGTTACACCTAGAACGATTTAAACAAGGCTAATCGTAAGGCGAATCACTCAAATTTTGCCTTAAAATATCACTCCGCTTTATAATTTGTCAACTATCATGAGACATTTCAGCATCTCTAACAATTTAGAAGCCCCCCCCCCCCCCCCAGGCAATGCAGTTCCAAAATAACCCAGGCCAAGACATAGCTAAGATGAGATCACTACAACTAGCTAATCCCTTTGGATACCTTCAGAGCTCTCTCTAAGTCTTACCAGTCCAAGTCTTGATTTGAAACAATTATTTTGTCTAATTGATTTTGTCTTAAGGGGTGATGGTCCCTACTCCAAATTTCCTTTGTTATTATATCTTTTAACCCTTGCCTGCCTATCAGAAAACACATGGGTACCTTTTTATGTGTTTTGCTAAAGAAATCAGTTATTTACTGTTGGCTCATAGTTATGCCTAAAACAATTTTGCAGTCATGTCAGCAAACTTGTAAATGTGAGGATTGTTTGTTTGCTGTTGACTGCCAATGGCTTTTTACATCACTATCAGAAGCTTAATTAAAAAATGCTGTATTTTTTACCACTTGTGTTCACACGTAGACTACCATGACAAGGCAAGCTACGCCATTTCCAGCTACTACAACCCAGTCCCCTGGATGCCTATACACACCCCTAAATTATCACACCAAGCCTGTTGCAAAGGGGAAGAAAGGGCGGGGTAAGAGGACCAATGCTACCTCATCAGGGAGGCAGATACAACAAGCGTTGTCAACCCCGCTGCTCTTCAGAGAACGGTCAGCACAAGAGAAGCTAGGGAAAGTGGGTGGTTGAGGGGGATTTGTTTTGTTTAGTGCTCACTATCACCCCCTGCACACCATCACCCCTGCACAATGCATTTTTTGTGACGTAGGATCCTCACAACACGGATTTGTTATATAACCAAATTCAATGTAGTTTGCTCAGTATTGTGTGCATCTGTAAAATAGCGCCTGTCTGGAATGCTCTCTAGGGAGTAAAAAATGTGCATACATTGCCTGCAGGCAAACCCAAATTCTGGGGCAGTAACATGTATGTAAATGTTTTAAGCACTACATGGTATAGTATTGTCAGATGAATTTATTGCATGCCAATAGCTGATTGACTGAAAAGTGTTTTGCTTCCAAACCCTGCATAATTCATTTAATTTGCAAGAAGAACATTTGATTTTCATGAAATACTTAAAAATTATTTATTTTCTCTTTAAAGATATTATCTTCCTTTTGCAGCCAACTTCAATTCTGTAGAACTTTGCAGGAATTATGAATATGTCATGTCTGTCTTACTTGTGAAATTTAAACATTAGCCATGTCCTAGTATTCATATTATGCAAGGAAACCCGTGTACATAAAATGAGCTGTAACAAGTACATGTACATGAGCACTTTTCTACATCAATAACCCACTACTTGTAATGGCCAAAATTAAACTGATTGAATCTTTGTGCAGCACAAAACGTACGACCACTTGGTACAACTACAAGGTTTCTGAAAATCAGACTATTATTTAGGTGATTACAATCACTTATGTCAAGTCGACAACTAATGGTCTTTATTTTCCCACGCAAAGCCATTCTCTGGGAACAAAGATTTGAAAGTGTTTTGTGTTCCCTGATGAATACCGAACCATTGTGACTTGGGCTGCCCCCTTGAAAATCCCGGGCATTTTCGTGAGGGGTCAACAAAGGTCATACAGGGTAGATTTCAATCGTGTCGATATGCATATCAAATTACTCGTCTGGTCATGAGGATTCCAAATTCAACTATACAACTTTCAAAAGTAAAAGTGCTTACCTTGACCATGTACATTAAAAATGGTTGCCGTTTCGGTGACATACATCAAACAACTTCTTATCCATGGGTTTGAGGCAAATTTCAAGGTTATGGGCAACCGCTTTTGATTTTAAGAGTTGCTTAGTTGAATTTGTTATGTCAGAAAACATATTATTAAACACTTAAATTATTAGAATCGGACGATGTTAATTGTGTAACTGAATTTCTAAACTGCATTGACCTTTTTTACCGTAGCGCCCTCATTTAAGGTCGGAGGTATAACAACCTATACATTTTTGGAATCCTTATGACCAGACGGGTAATTTGATATGCAATTTAATATGGTTCACTGTGTTGGTGAATTTGACCACCAGTTTTAAACATTGCGCAATAAATACAGATGAAAAACATAAACCGATTGACGCTAACAGATAGAGGAGCTCAAGCGCAACATAATGATACCACTCAGGAGACCACAGCGTTCTTTTAAAGAAAGATATTTGCAAATGTAAAAAAAAGGCTTCAAATGACTCCTTCATTGCGCAATATTCACGCCATTTAATCGTTTTCACTATTGCGCAATAAATAAGGATGAGAAAAATAAACATATGTCGCGAACAGATAGAGGAGCTCGAGTGCAACATAATGAAACCACTCAGGAGTCCACAGCGTTCTTTTAAAGAAAGATTTTAGCAAATGTGATGAAAAACTAACAAATACGCCTCAAATTTGTTTTATTTATTTATTTCTATTCTTTTGACAAGGGTAGCCCATTCACCAACAAGTAGTTGTCTTCCATGGGGCCCTGAATGAACATATTTACATCGTTTATAACATTTATACAGAACAGTAACAAAAATAATACTCGTTTGAGGCGTATTTGTTAGTTTTTCATCACATTAGCGTCATCGGTTTCTGGGTTTCATCTGTATTTATTGCGCAATGTATAAAGCTTGCAAAAACTGTCCAATTGCACAAAAAGAACCATTTGAGGGGTATTTGTTAGTTTTTCATCACATTTGCAAAATATCTTTCTTTAAAATAATAATGTGGACTCCTGAGTGGTATCATTAAGTTGCACTCGATCTCCTCTATAAGTTAGCGTCATCGGTTTGTGGTTTCCATCTGTATTAATTGCGCAATGTATGAAATGATTTATAGAGCTCTAAAACCTTGCAAAAACTGTCCAATTGCACAAAAAGAACCAATAGAGGGGTATTTGTTAGTTTTTCATCACATTTGCAAAATATCTTTCTTTAAAAGAACGCTGTGGACTCCAGAGTGGTATCATTAAGTTGCACTCGATCTCCTCTATCAGTTAGCGTCATCGGTTTCTGGTTTCCATCTGTATTAATTGCGCAATGTATAAAATGATTTATAGAGCTCTAAAACCTTGCAAAAACTGTCCAATTGCACAAAAAGAACCAATAGAGGGATATTTGTTAGTTTTTCATCACATTTGCAAAATATCTTTCTTTAAAAGAACAATGTGGACTCCTGAGTGGTATCATTAAGTTGCACTCGATCTCCTCTATCAGTTAGCGTCATCGGTTTGTGGTTTTCATCTGTATTTATTGCGCAATGTATAAAAGGATGTATAGAGATGTAAAACCTTGCAAAAACTGTCCAATTGCACAAAAAGAACCATTTGAGGGGTATTTGTTAGTTTTTCATCACATTTGCAAAATATCTTTCTTTAAAAGAACGCTGTGGACTCCTGAGTGGTATCATTAAGTTGCACTCGATCTCCTCTATCAGTTAGCGTCATCGGTTTGTGGTTTCCAACTGTATTTATTGCGTAATGTATAAAAGGATGTATAGAGCTCTAAAACCTTGCAAAAACTGTCAGATTGCACAAAAAGAACCGTTTGAGGCGTATATGTTAGTTTTTATCACATTTGCAAAATATCTTTCTTTCAAAGAACACTGTGGACTCCTGAGTGGTATCATTTGGTTGCACTCGATCTCCTCTATAAGTTAGCGTCATCGGTTTCTGGTTTTCACCTGTATTTATTGCGCAATGTATAAAAGGATTTATAGAGCTCTAAAACCTTGCAAAAACTGTCCAATTGCACAAAAAGAACCGTTTGAGGCGTATATGTTAGTTTTTCATCACATTTGCAAAATATATTTCTTTCAAAGAACACTGTGGACTCCTGAGTGGTATCATTAAGTTGCACTCAATCTCCTCTATAAGTTAGCGTCATCGGTTTGTGGTTTCCATCTGTATTTATTGCGCAATGTATAAAAGGATGTATAGAGCTTGCAAAAACTGTCCAATTGCACAAAAAGAACCATTTGAGGCGTATTTGTTAGTTTTTAATCACATTTGCAAATATCTTTCTTTAAAAGAACACTGTGGACTCCTGAGTGGTATCATTAAGTTGCACTCGATCTCCTCTATAAGTTAGCGTCATCGGTTTGTGGTTTTCATCTGTATTTATTGCGCAATGTATAAAAGGATGTATAGAGCTCTAAAACCTTGCAAATACTATCCAATTGCACAAAAAGAACCGTTTGAGACGTATATGTTAGTTTTTTATCACATTTGCAAAATATCTTCTTTAAAAGAACAATGTGGACTCCTGAGTGGTATCATTAAGTTGCACTCGATCTCCTCTATAAGTTAGCGTCATCGGTTTCTCGTTTTCATCTGTATTTATTGCGCAATGTATAAAAGGATGTATAGAGCTCTAAAACCTTGCAAAAACTGTCCAATTGCACAAAAAGAACCATTTGAGGGGTATTTGTTAGTTTTTCATCACATTTGCAAAATATCTTTCTTTCAAAGATTAATGTGGACTCCTGAGTGGTATCATTAAGTTGCACTCGATCTCCTCTATCAGTTAGCGTCATCGGTTTCTGGTTTCCATCTGTATTTATTGCGCAATGTATAAAAGGATGTATAGAGCTCTAAAACCTTGCAAAAACTGTCCAATTAAACAAAAAGAACCGTTTGAGGCGTATATGTTAGTTTTTCATCACATTTGCAAATATCTTTCTTTAAAAGAACACTGTGGACTCCAGAGTGGTATCATTAAGTTGCACTCGATCTCTTCTATCAGTTAGCGTCATCGGTTTCTGGTTTTCATCTGTATTTATTGCGCAATGTATAAAAGGATATATAGAGCTCTAAAACCTTGCAAAAACTGTCCAATTGCACAAAAAGAACCATTTGAGGGGTATTTGTTAGTTTTTCATCACATTTGCAAAATATCTTTCTTTAAAAGAACGCTGTGGACTCCTGAGTGGTATCATTTGGTTGCACTCGATCTCCTTTATAAGTTAGCGTCATCGGTTTGTGGTTTCCATCTGTATTTATTGCGCAATGTATAAAAGGATGTATAGAGCTCTAAAACCTTGCAAAAACTGTCCAATTGCACAAAAAGAACCAATTGAGGGATATTTGTTAGTTTTTCATCACATTTGCAAAATATATTTCTTTAAAAGAACGCTGTTGACTCCAGAGTGGTATCATTAAGTTGCACTCGATCTCCTCTATCAGTTAGCGTCATCGGTTTCTCGTTTCCATCTGTATTTATTGCGCAATGTATAAAAGGATGTATAGAGCTCTAAAACCTTGCAAAAACTGTCCAATTGCACAAAAAGAACCATTTGAGGGGTATTTGTTAGTTTTTCATCACATTTGCAAAATATCTTTCTTTAAAAGAACAATGTGGACTCCTGAGTGGTATCATTAAGTTGCACTCGATCTCCTCTATCAGTTAGCGTCATCGGTTTGTGGTTTCCATCTGTATTTATTGCGCAATGTATAAAAGGATGTATAGAGCTCTAAAACCTTGCAAAAACTGTCAATTGCACAAAAAGAACCGTTTGAGGCGTATATGTTAGTTTTTATCACATTTGCAAAATATCTTTCTTTCAAAGAACACTGTGGACTCCTGAGTGGTATCATTTGGTTGCACTCGATCTCCTCTATAAGTTAGCGTCATCGGTTTCTGGTTTTCATCTGTATTAATTGCGCAATGTATAAAAGGATTATAGAGCTCTAAAACCTTGCAAAAACTGTCCAATTGCACAAAAAGAACCAATTGAGGGATATTTGTTAGTTTTTCATCACATTTGCAAAATATCTTTCTTTAAAAGAACAATGTGGACTCCTGAGTGGTATCATTAAGTTGCACTCGATCTCCTCTATCAGTTAGCGTCATCGGTTTGTGGTTTTCATCTGTATTTATTGCGCAATGTATAAAAGGATGTATAGAGCTGTAAAACCTTGCAAAAACTGTCCAATTGCACAAAAAGAACCATTTGAGGGGTATTTGTTAGTTTTTCATCACATTTGCAAAATATCTTTCTTTAAAAGAACGCTGTGGACTCCTGAGTGGTATCATTAAGTTGCACTCGATCTCCTCTATCAGTTAGCGTCATCGGTTTG